AGAAGCACCTTCCTCACTCGCTGTCGAGCAGCAAACGTGGGACAACCTCGAAAATTGCGGATCGAGCTACTCGTACCAACATCATTTGTACTCATGAGATATTTGTGAAATGTGCCATTGAGCTTACCCATCCTCGAAACATAATTCCGAAAAACTTCGACAAAATTGCAATTTTGATAACTAAGTATATCCGTCATACTCGGTGTTGACTTCTTCAACTTCCCTACTCACCGAGAAACTACCAGCTAAGTTGCAGAGGTTTGGTAGACCAGGTTTCCCAAGTGGATGTGTTCGATAGCTCCACTTCCTTTCCAGTTCTTAGTGACGCCATGCGCCTTTTGCGTTCCTATCTCGAGTTTTCGGCGCATCGTCCCTCGCGACAACTTCATCTACTCGCGCGTAGCATCGGATCCAGTTTTCACCGCTAACAATCTCTACTAACTGTAATTCTCGCAGGAAGACGCTTAAAATCTCAGAGTGGCTCTTCCAATGATTCCATGAATAACCCTTGGACCGTACAAATGATCTATTGCCTAACTCATCAGTGTAGACGAAAAACTCTCGGTGAAAATCGTACACAGTGGTACTGCTACCGTATCCAGTACAGCAGTCAAAAAAATGTGGCAATCCTCTACTGAGCCAGCCCTTGTAGTGATGGATGAGCGCTCCAAATTCGTTTAGAACAGAGTCAGACCAGACGGTCGTAATCTCTACAACCAGTAAGCATGCGATATGGGGTGGATTGGTGCGTTGCCTGAGCAGCCCATTCCACCAATGGATACCACGTTGAGCTCGCTACAATGGTGGAAAAAGCTGTCTTGGCTGCGCTCCAATCCAAGCCCCTTGATGCGCCTCCTCGCTGAGAGGAGAGCGAAAATAACAGAAGTGGAATAAGAAGTTGCGATATACTCACTAGGGTCTGGATGGGTCGTCGAAAAACACGAGAGAAAATTTATAGCATAATAAATCAATGTACAAACTCGTCCTCCGCAACAAATTGAGGGTATAATTACACCCGGTTGTTCAAGAAGATCATCCACACAGCGCTACCGCCCTATTACCCACCTTTTGAGAAACGAAGGAGTAAAGATATAATTGTCGACTGCTTTGCGAAAGAATAAATGTGCTTCGCTTAGAACCTTTACTATGAAGACCTTAGAATGCCTAAAGTTCTACAAAGACTTTTCAGGTACAGGTCTTTCTTGAGTTAGAGGTGTATCAACCCACCTAGTTTTGGTAGCACCGGTAGGCCAACCTGGCAAAACCTGCATGAAATTTGAGGAGCTGTAACCAGCTCGCTTTCAGGATGCGCCATGCACCTTACGTTAGTCAGAACTGCTTTAAGTGTGATTTGGCATAGCACACAACGACTTGTGATAACCGTCGATATGCCTTCCAGTCTTATTTCCGAGACAAATGCGAAACCATTCCAACGTATCCAAAGGGTAACCGCCTCCAGTAGGTCCGAGTGTGAGCCAGTCCGCGAGGGAGACGGGTAAGAGGATCGTAATTGCCGCTTCGTCGCGCGCGGCAATGGGCGCGACGTTTCCTCAATTTGCACTACCCTTTCGATTGGAGCATCGGATTTCATGTAGACAAGGACATGGTAGATACATATCCCACTGGCGAGGCGAATTACGATTCTCCTGCCACATACCCGTCCGCGGAGCAGACCCCTAAATCGTGTGCGCTGCCAAGTAGCCACCGCACACCTCGGTTTTTTCCTACAGGGTACAATATAGAAAGCATTCACTCATCAAGCAGATAAAATCATACAATATAACATAAATGATTCGTTAAAAAAGGATTATAACTGTAAATATACTTACCGCAGTTCCCACCATCGATCATTAATCTTTGCAGGAGAGACTTTGCCTTCGAATTGTTCGAACCTCCAAGTGTCAGCGACGATGTCAAAAGGTAACTTGACGAAGTTTTCCAAAGCTTCCCTGGAAACAAAACTTTCCAAAAAGTGCGCCAAAACTTTGCCTCTGGGAACATTTCGCCTTCGATAACATTTAACAGTCCAGAGACCACAGGCGCACCAATGAGGGGAGGGGAGCTCTGCGCAGATTTCCTAGGCGGGGTTACTTCGAGTTGCACCCTCCTGATGGATCGATCAGTCCTTTGAGTACAGGGAAAGGGCATGAACAGAAGAAAGCGCATCTTATAAGTTACTCATTCTCACGATAACTGCAGAACAAGCCCCTTAGTATCGGAAAAGTGGCGGCGAATACATTCGTACGTGTTTTGGATTCATTTCTCCTTCTTCCCTAATTTCCCCTCAATTCTCTCCTGTGGACATAGCCAGAAAGCGAAAACCGCCTTTCAATTCGTTCCATACGCTGTGCTTAGCAAATAACTTCGAAAAACTCACTTGTAAAGCTTGTTAACAATCAAAGCATCCTTGATGTCCAGATGGGATGCGGGGACTAGTTTCTAAACCAGATATCGTTCATATCAATCGCGTCATCATCACGTCCATTCCACTACTAGTACATACCTGGGAGTATAAGTAGTGAGGATTAGTTGATAAATGTGCAAATACTCGGGCGATGGCGTCGCTGACGGAAGATGAAGCAGGTTCCCTAAAAAACGACACAGAGTTTTACAGCATTCGCTAATCATACAGTCAAGAATCCTGATATATTTGTTTAGTGAGATCCTTTTGTGAAATAAGATAAATGTTACTGGTATAACAAACAGATAAACTGATGCCAATTTTGCATGTCTATACATATATTAACCATTTTTGTTTTCTGTGGAAGCATCCATTAAAATGTGCGTGTCGCTTCTCCACTGTTCCGACGTTTGGAACGGTCGTGCGCCGAAGGCTGTCGTGATTGGTGCATCATTTCTTGTTTGGATAGCCAATAACAATCAACTCTCGCATTCACGGTGTGGAAAGAGCAAACACTGTTTCGGAAAAGTGCGCAATGGTACACAGGTCGAATAAACGCAATATTTTCTGTTGATTCGGAACCAAAATTAAAGAATGACCAATTTCATCAACGCAACATACTGGCGGTAGGCTTGAAAATGGGCGTATATCTTACTCCTAGATGTAAGAGTAAAATGCATGGAATGCACTGATTTCTTCGAAAGTATATTCGTGAAAAAATTCTAACCTGAACAGAAGCGGTTGCTTTCTATAGAGATACTGGTAGTACACTTGGGCCATAAGAGAATGAGCCAGTTCGAAATCGGGCATACCCAGTTGAGCGCATGATTTGACTCTGAACATTAAAGTATCTTGTCATACCAAAGTTGAAGGTTCAAAGTTGAAGTTGAGTTGTAAGGATAGCTATGCACTAAGTAACTAGTAGTAACTAAGTAATATATAAAATAAATAGCCAATAAGTGTAACTACTATGTACCTGTAATCGCTACCATCCCTCATGTCAAGGGCAGCTGGTGGATTACAGATCATATCACGACTCCAGACTCGTGCAAAGTGCGAATTTGTCCAGAACGTTTTCGGCAGTGAAGGGAATCCGATCGATTTGAAGTAGCGATAAGCCTGAAATCAGTACGGCTTAGTTTGAAGTACGGCTCCAAATACCAGTCTGGCCTAAGAATTTCCTAAAAGAAAGTTCATCAAGGTGGACCATGTCAGTGAATGTCATAAGGTTCGATTTTGACTGATGACCAGCAATTGACCGAGTAAAACCGGTAATCAGCTAAGGAAGTACTCATGAGTGATGAAGAAAAAGAGCTTCGAATAAGTCAGGCAGAGGCTGTCAGGGAAAATATGAAGTAAAAGCATTGAAAAAGTTTCAATGGTGAATGTAAAGTGTGTGCTGAGCGACTGCGAAAGCTTCTTCAGACATCAAAAGTTCAGAAGTTTAACACGACTTGTTTAAGAACCAGTGTACTGTAGGTTCTGACAGCAAGAATTCTTCAACACCGATGGAGAAAGTTTGCCTGCAGTTGAACGCACATTCTGGTCTCATAGGCGGAATTAAATAGAAAATTGCCCGTTACTGATTGGTGCGCTCTTCTTGCTTGCCATTTTAGGAGTAGACGCCAAACAATGAGGATAACACATTCGTTTAAGTGACTCCGCCCATTCGATCAAAGCGAAATGCGCTTCTCAGTATAACATGAACGGATGGGACGTTGAAT